AAGTTGATGATAATAGTGAAATATATTTTCCACATTGAATTTACAACCGTCTTGAACTAGATGAAGAAATAGGACTGCAAGGGGTTGTAAATGAAGAGGACATCATAATGGTGAGTTTGTGGTGTATACAGAGTAACAATTATTAAAGTAGTGGAAATGTTGGAAGGAAGCCTTCGTTCCTTGCAAATTCCGCCCGAGCTTTTCTTAACTTCTCCAAAATCACCCGCAAGAGATTCTTCGAGGGAGCCTAATGTTAGTATTGTGATTCAATGATATTGTATCGCTTTCATATTACACTATTAATAAATATAAATCCATTGAAGATTAATGAATACAAAATTCCATTAATAATTTGTCAAATTTGCTTAAAAATTATGGCCAGCACTGAACTCCAACTCTCCAAGGGCAGGATAATAAAATCCTCTGTTCTGTGGGAAATAGAGGAATACACTGAAAAAAGAGAGCTTGATCTTCTCAAAGAAAGGATTAAAAAAAAAAAAAAAAAATCCCAGAAGGAAAATCTAAATTCATGATAATTGTTAAATATTTTGTATATTTATTAACATATGAACCATCTCTAACTCTAAAAATAAAGAATACATAAGCCAGATTTTCAGAGAGATTTCTAATAGAATTTGAGGTGGGCTTAACTTCTCACTCAAGAAGACATTGTTGAATGTGAGGATTACCCCGTAGGCTTGAACGTGCCTAGTCGGTGTGAGACTCCAACACTCTCCCTCACGGTGAAGCCCATATGTGTTTCTCACCCGCTGGTTAAGCACTCAGCTCAACTGGGCCTAGCTCTGATAGGATAATAGAATTTTAAGTAGGTCCGACTCCTCAGCTAATAATGTTTTATTGAATGGGAAAATTACACCCTCTTGTAAACCAGTAGAGCCTTGAGCGTGCTTAATCGGTGTGGACTCTAACAATTTCTACTGTAATTGGCACTTGGGTATAATACACGATAATGAAATAGGACGAAGACAAACAGTAACCTGGTTTCCTGGAAACATAGAAGTCTTCTCAGTCATTTATAAACCATGAATTCAATCAACATTTTGCTTTAAAGTCATGAAACTAATTGACCACTTAGGGCAACTATAGCAAATTCAATCAACACTCTTGAAGATTTTCCTTGATTTAAGAGAACTGTTTCATATGACTATACAATTGTCATGTGTCACGAATACAATAATACTACGAACACCAATGCTTTGCACTGAAATATTAAACAGAACGATGTGCCACCTAAGTCAGACGAGTCATGTAGCACGTTAAAAAATATTTCGCGAATGAACGGCCGTCCATTAAATATGGATGGCCATTCATTTGAAATGGACTCTCGTCCATGCGAAAATGACAATAGACTCCCGTCCATATTATATAGATGAGAATCTATTTACTACGGACGGGAGTTCACCTATAAAAATGCCCGTCCATAGTTTAAATTAAAAAAATTTGATAACAAAAATCATGGACGCCCGTCCATACTCCATTGTTTAAATTTAAAAAAAAAAAAATTAAAAACAAAAGTAATCTCATTCTTTTTGGAAAACTCTGGGGTCAAAGATTGATTCTTTTTGGCATATGCATTGGAAACTCTGGGGTCAAAGATTGATTCTTTTTGTTGATAGCAAGATTTAGCGCAAGGTTGACAGTGTGTCCATGTGAGGTCGCTTCCTGTGTCAAAATGAGAGATAGTTCTTTCTTTGGTGACCCGAGTCCCACTGTACCAGTATAGTTGCCTGAACCCACCACGCTACCGTCTTTCGCCGGAAGATTAGCGGCGTATGTCTGCGTTAAGTTATCTGCACGGCCGGAGTTCTTGGAGAGTTTTGATTGAATTGAATCAACTCTAGCCTGGTCTTGAAGGAGGATTTCCGAGTGAGAAACAGAGTTTGGTTTCTGATCCCCATTTCTAAAATACGGACCTCGCTTGTGAACTACTTCCAAAGACGACTTCCTTCCGGCAGCTGAAACTTTAATTCAAATGCCCCCATTATTAATTAAAATTACGCATAATTAACTCAAGAAGTAATCAAACAGTTATAAATACAATGAAATAGACAGCTCTTTTAACAAAGTTTTTTAGTTGGACTTTTGGTTACAGATAAACCATCTCTCATATATCGCCCGTGATCGACAACTTGAAATTAAACACAAGAAAAACAAAAAAAGTATAATTGGAATATAGTTGAACAAGTTGGGGGAACAGGGTAATCTGAGTAGTGAAAAAGACTCATGACTTTAACTATGACTTCTTCTCAAAAGAAAACAATGTAGTTGTTGTGCTTTGTACCATTTTTCTCTTATTTTCAAACCAAAAAAAAACTTTTTCTACATAATTTTATAATACCGCAAAAATCATTCACCGGAATCGGCTTTCTTCAACCAGGAGCAAACTTTCAGTCTTCCACATATGTAAAACAAAATAAACTTTCTTAATTAATGACCATTTGCAGATTTATAGTTTACTTAAACATAAAAATAGATTGCGAGGGCATTCAGCGTAGTGTTATTAAACCATTATTTGGATGTGAAAAAGTCATTTACTCTTTTATTAATTTATAATTAATATAATATTGTCTTATAAATGATCACAATTAAAAGATGGAATCTCCGGTTTTACATGCCTATTATTCGTTGAAAATTAATTAGTGGAAAAGTAAAGGGTAAAATTGACCTTTAGCCTACCCTTCCCTTATCTTATAAAAGCATCAGACTAAGTGATAAAAGCCACACCACACAACAGCAATAATTCTAATAATTATAGGGGGAAATATCTTGAGAAAATGGTGAACATTCCAGTGGCAACCTTGCCCTCCAATGGAAAAACCATTCCTCTTGTAGGCTTCGGCACAGCTGAATATCCATTCAACTCAACCGGCTCCGTGAAAGAATCGACTCTTCATGCAATTAAACTCGGCTACAGACATTTTGATACCGCTGCACTTTACCTCTGCGAGCGACCTCTTGGCGAAGCAATAGCCGAAGCTTTACGCCTTGGCCTCATCAATTCCCGCGATGAGATGTTCATCACTTCCAAGCTTTGGCTCAACAATGCTCACGGTCACCTTGTCGTCCCCGCGCTACAAACCACTCTTAAGTAATGTAGCCAAACGATCGATGTAAATTTTTTGCCTTTTATGTAAAGATATGTAACCAACAATTTGTGGGATACAGGAATCTTGGCTTGGAGTACCTTGATCTCTATCTCATTCATTATCCGTTAAGCTTGAGACCGGAGTCAGATTCAAGCCTTTTATTGAAGAAAGAGGATATTATGAAAAATGGACTTTGAGTCTGTTTGGGGGACCATGGAGGAATGTCAAAAGCTTGGTCTTACCAAACCCATAGGAGTCAGTAACTTTTCATGCAAGAAGCTTGAGCAGTTACTTGCCATTGCGAAGATCCCTCCTGCTGTCAATCAAGTTTGTCAATTCTTTAACAAAATTTAATATTTGTATGTTTTTTTATATCGGTAAGTATTGAGTATATCATATGTTTCGTGTCCTTGTTAGGTGGAGCTAAACCCAGTTTGGCAACAGAAGAAGCTGAGGAAGTTTTGTGAGGAAAAGGGCATCCACATAACAGCTTACTCACCATTAGGAGCCACTGGAGCTCTTTGGGGAACTAACCGAGTCATGGATTCTGAAGTACTCCAGGAGATTGCAAGAGCCAAGGGGAAGTCAGTCGCTCAGGTACATAAATAGTTTTTCGGATCTATAACTTGGATTTTTTAGGTAATTGTATAGATGATTGTGATGATCTCATTGTATATTAAACCTTAGTGATCTTTTATATACATATATACACACATATATAAAAGACTCCATGCATGCACATGACAGCATTATATAAAGAGCAGTCCACTAAGCTGTAAAATTAATCACGCGGAGTCTACTGTTGGATGTTGTTCATACTTTACACGGGATTAACGGATTATTGGCAGACACAGACGCACACCCGAGGTCCCGCTCGCCGATGAGAGGGCGGGGGTGAGGGGGCAGCACCCCTACCTAGCAAACCCAATTAGTAAGTAGGTTCGAAATTGGTTTGCAAATATTTGGGTCTGGAATAGTTTAGCCTAAATGTGATTAGGTTTATTATTGCTCATTTTATATATGTTGGTGTTGTAATAGTAAAAAACCTAAATGTGAGAAATATTGCAAAAGAACAGTGTGAGTGAGCTGTCCTGCTATTCTTGTATTATTGCATATTTCTGAAAAACTTCTCCATCTTGAATGTTGGACATAGTTCCCAAATTGGGAACGTTAATTGTTTCCTTTTACTTTTCTGCTCCAAAGTTTGGTGTGTGATTTGGCAATAGATTCAACATCTATGGACCCCAAGTCCAAGTCTTTGTCAATAAATTAAAGAACGACAACTTGTTTATGAGTTGTTCACAAATATAACTTATTAACTGAGGGTTATTTTGGTGCATGTGAAGATTTGTCTCCGCTGGGTTTACGAGCAAACAGTAAGTGTACTTGTTAAGAGCTTCAACGAAGAAAGAATGAAGGAGAATCTAGATTTATTTGATTGGAAATTAAGTCAAGAAGAACTGGACAAGATTGAAAAAATCCCACAGAGCCGAGGAAATCCTGCTGAGTTTACAGTAACGGAGCAAGGTCCTTACAAATCCATTGAGGAGTTCTGGGATGGAGAAATATAAAGTTCATTGCGGTTCATAACCATTTGATTTGTGTTATTGTGTCATTAATTATGTAAAACTGTTTCCACGAAACGATTATCTACACTAATCGTTTAATAAAAACCTTCATTTAATGAGTGAAAATTATGCCAATAAAGACGAAATAATTTGATAAATCAAACTAAAATAAAACTTAGCTTCTACACTTATCTATCTTAATGAACGAATGCTACATGTAAAAATTATCTATACAAATTTTTCCATACAAATTGATGTGTTATAAATTGACTTAAAGAATGTATGTATAAAGTCAACTTAATAAATATTTAATAAAAATAAAGAAATGACTTGGAATTGCGGTGATTCTCCCAATTGCATGTAAAATCAATTAAAAATTATGAACATTAATACAAAATGACATATAAAACAATTAATTAAGTGGTCTGATTACACCATTAGACATTTCCATCTCCCTACTCTTGAATTTTCTTATAAAGACATCACATCTTACAGAAACAATTAAAAGCCACAGAATTGCATTGGTTATCACTTAAAAGGAAATACACTGAGAAAATGGCGAATGTTCCAGTGGCAGCCTTTTCATCACTTCCAAGCTTTGGGTCGACAACACTAACGGAGACCTTGTCCTCCCCGCATTACAGAACACTCTCAAGTAATGTGATCCTTAATTTCAATGAATATCTTCAGATTTACTTCTACGAAAATAATTTAAACATTTTGTTCGATACAGAAATCTTGGACTGGAGTATCTTGATCTTTATCTCATTCATTATCCATTAAGTTTGTGAAGAGGGTCGTAAGGGTTTCCAATCAAGAAAGAGGATATTATAACAATGGATTTTGAGTCTGTTTGGGGAGCCATAGAGGAATGTCAAAAGCTTAGTCTCACCAAATCCGTTGGAGTCAGCAACTTTTCGTGCAAGAAGCTTGAGGAGTTGCTTGCCATTACAAAAATCCGTCCTGCTGTTAATCAAAATTAATTCTTTAACAAGATTTATATTTATATTTCGGATGTTGATATGGTACGGTGTTTTGTGTTTTGTTTTAAGGTGGAGTTGAACCCAGTTTGGCAACAGAAGAAGCTGAGGAAGTTCTGTGAGGAAAAGGGCATCCATATAACAGCTTACTCACCATTAGGAGCCGAAGGAACACTCTGGGGAAGTTCTGAAGTTCTGAAAGAGATTTCAAGTGCCAAAGGGAAGTCAATCGCTCAGGTACATACTTTATTTTAATTTTCAAAGCACAGAGAACAAGATAGTTTAATTAATTTATAACATGTTTGATGGTGAGTGGAAGTAAATTGTGCACAAGAATCCATGCATCTCAATGAGAGCATCATAGAAAGAGTTTAGGTTAATTGTAACAACCACCTCTCAGGTTTCAAAACCTAAAGGGTAGATGCTGAATGTGGAGTTATTATACGACATCACTCCTAATCTTTTGAGAATTATTTAAATACCACCCGTCTGTAAACTTTTGTTACAATTTTCGTCACAAAACCATTTTAAATTACCTTTTATCCTAAAATTTGACATAGTTTATCTTTTACAAAATTTTAACAAGTTTTTCCTTTTTCCTTTTTTTTTTTTTTTTTTTTTTTTTTTTTTTTTTTTTTACAATTTTCTCCACTCATCTCCCCAACCCACTCACCCACTCTCGGCATAGATCTCCCACCCTCCTTCTACCCCTGTTAGAGTCATGAAAGTGACTCTACTTTGGTGACAAAAAGACCCTATGTGTAATTGAATTGAAGTTATATTGAGACAATTAAGAGAAATTATGAATTTATGTTTAAAAATCATATTTTGAGTTTTTCTTACTAATTTGGCATGTTTGGATTTAAATTTGAGATTGTGTAAGTTGATATTAGGATGTGATTTATTTTCTAGGGTTGATGTTGTCTCATTTATGCCTTTCAGGGGTCAAATTGTCATAATCTTGGGGTTGATTTTGTCACTTTCAAACATGCAGGGACCAAAGTGATATTTTACATTTTGTTCTATAAAAAGAAGATGAAAAGTCACATACAGGGGAGGCTGTTCACCCAGTTTTCCGACGAGCTCCGGCTACCCTTCGTCTCCCTCTGGCGATGATTCATCTTCCCCGACCACCTATCATCTTCATCAACCGTCAACGCCACCGTGGGAAGTGAAGAGCTGCCGCGACGTTTCATCTTCCACCACCGCGACGTTTCGTCTTCCCGGCCAGATTTGGCCATTTTCTGGCGATGTTTCAGCTCCCCAAGAGTCGTTCTCCCTTCCCCACGGCCGGATCTAGCATTTCCAAGCTTCAGCCGCCGCAAAAACCACCGGAATCCGCGATTTTGCCGCCGCGCCTCTTCATCTTCCAGCCCAGATCCTGCTCATTTCCGATGACTTCTCACCTCCCCAGGACCTGATCTGAACTCCCCATCACCAGAGCTTTCCATCGGTACCTTCGGATCCCATTTCCGCCACCGTTTTCCAAAAGACCCGCCGGAAAATTAATGTTTTCCGGCGAAGTGCGGCTGTTCGTATTCCGGGCTGTCCGTTGGTCGTTTTCACCCCTTCTTCACATCATATCGCTGTCGGTTACCTCCTCTTCGCCATGATCAGCTTCGTTTCCACCGTTTCAGCCTTCGTCATCACCACCATGAGCGGCTAAGTTCCCGGTTGTCCGTTACGATGTAGGCGAGATCGAGATTGACTCCATTGATCTCCTCAAAAACTCTCGACTAGTTAGATGAGCCCGAATGTTGGATATTTGGTTAAGTTTCTTGTATTCAGATTATATTTGTTTTCGTTTCAGTTTGTTTGCGATGCTTTAATATTATTCTGATGCTCGACGTGTTGAATTGATAATGTCCATTGAGAACGTTTATTGATATATAACTTTTTGCATAATTGAATGTCGGTTTGAGATTATTGAATGTTGATTATGACTTTAAATTGCTTCGGTACTGATTGCAATCAAGTTGTAGTAGCGTTTAATATCATTTCTACTAGGAATGCATTTATTGTGTAATTAGTTGATTGGATGATACAGGTTGATAGGTTGTACTTGTTAACGTTGTACCAACTAGTGGTGTTTAAGGGTTTAGCGTTTTTCGGTTAGTCGATGATAGTCTTTAACCAATCGATCTGTAACTAAGACGACAGGGAGACAGGATAGATTATACCTAGATTGCCGAGAGATATTTTTATTGATTTGCCTAGCCTTGTAGGTTTAAGAAATTGAAGAGCAAGGAGAGGAATTGTGAGAGTTGGTCTTGAGTCAAACCGAACCCGTAGCGGCAAAGCTTTTGATATTGTGTTTTAGTCAGCAATTTATTTAATGCTTTTTAATTTCCTGCAAGTAATTAGTTTCCTTAATTTTAATCAATCATTCTGCTAATTTCTCTTTCGTTAACTCAAATATACATTAGGTCATTAGTCTTGCTCTCTGTGGATTCGACCCTGCTTACCGCTAACTATGGTATTTAGGTTTAATTTTTAGACCGTGACGATCGGTCTAACAACCCCGCAATGCACGCCCCTCTCTATGTGGCCAGCAACTCCACCCCACCTACCTTCCTTCCATCTCGCACTACAGCCTTCCTTCTCCCATTGCCAATCTCTCCCTTCCCTACAATATCATCGCCATATTTGTAACACGCAACAAAAGCATCACCTGTCTACCTATCCATGTAGAAATTCAGTATTGAGATGAAGAATCAAGAAAATTAAAGAGACCAAGAAAAACGAAAAACAGAGCTGAGAAGAAAGATGAATATTCTGGAATTCATTGATTTTTATTAACTGAGTCTTTAACAGAAAACAAACATATTTATAGTTTGTTACACTGTATAAAACGACTGTGTATTACATTTTGCTTAATTGAAATTCAAGCCATCTGACTTCTAATCTTTGCAAAATAACCCAGCATACTTTCTTCTTAATATTCCCCGGTAAACAGAACACTCCTACTATTCTTTATCATTCTCCCTTCACAATATTTCCCCGTAAACAACATTATCTTCCTCTCTAAACTTATCTTCACTTTTACCATGCTTCAACATTCTACCAACTCAACATTTCCCCGTAAACAACACTATCTTCCTCTAAAAACACAACTTTCTGCAACTTCAATTGGCAACACTATCTTCCTCTGAAAACACAACTTTCTGTAACATATTGACTTCAGTTTGCATAAGACTTAATTAGTCTTTGATTGTAGCAACTAACATTGGCAAAGAAGACATAACAGTAAGCTTTTCTTTAAGAACTTGAAACCTGTGAACAAGAACTGCCTTTGTTAACACATCTGCAGTTTGAAACTCAGAGGAAACATATTGAACAACAAGTTTCTTATCAATAACCAGTTCTCTCACATAATGGACATCAATCTCAATATGTTTTGTCCTAGCATGGAAAACAAGGTTAGAAGATAGTGCTCCTGCACTCATATTATCACACCACAAAATTGGAATACTCTTGATTAGGATGCCAAGTTCTTGAAACAAATTTTGGATCCAAACAAGTTCAGTGGCTGCTTGACTAACAGCCCAATATTCAGCCTTTGTTGAAGAGAGATACACCACTTTCTATTTTCTAGACACCCATTGTACTAAGTTGCCACCAAGAAATATGCTATACCCTGTTGTGGATCGCCTATCACCAACATCACCTGCCCAGTCAGCATCAACATATCCTTCTAGGGCAAAATTCTGATGTTTTTGGAAGAGTAAACCATGTTGTAGGGTGCCTTTAATGTATCGAAGTACTCACTTGCATGCAGTCCAGTGATTTGTAGTAGGAGACTGTAAAAATTGACTCAATCTGTTCACTGCAAAAGACAAATCAGGTCTAGGCAAAGTCAAGTATTGAAGACCTCCCATAAGACTTCGATAAAGAGAGGGCTGATCAAAAGCTTCACTGTCTTCTTTCATCAATTTTGTACTAGTGGCCATAGGTGTATTGCAGGGCTTACATTCTACCATTCCATCTTTGTTCAATAGATCAAGAGCATATTTTGATTGAGAAAGCAGCAAATCTGACTTGTCTCTTTGCACTTCAAAGCCAGGAAAATAGTTAACAGACCCTAAAGTCTTCAAAGCAAACTTGTTATTTAAATCTGTAACTATTTGAGTAATCAATGCAGAATCATTCCCAGTAATGAGAATATCGTCCACATACACTAGTAAATACACTATGTGAGACTCCTTTTTAAAGAAAAATAGGCTGGTGTCAGAAACTGAACCAAGAAAACCCTAATTAGTAAGAGCCGCCTTTAACTTGTCAAACTAGGCTCTTGGCATCTGTTTTAGGCCATAAAGGGCCTTGTTGAGTTTACAAACATGTTTGGGGTGTTGAAGATCAATAAAACCTTCAGGTTGAAACATGAACACTGTCTCTGTGAGATCTCCATTCAGAAATGCATTGTTAATATCAATTTGTTGGATATCCCAACCATTATGAACAGCAAGTGAGAATATGATCTTTATAGTGGCAAGTTTAATAACTGGATAAAATGTATCGAAATAATCCAAACCTAGGGTTTGTTGAAAGCCTTTAGCCACTAATCGTGCCTTGTATTTTTGAAGAGTGCCATCAGATTTCAGCTTGGTTTTAAATACTGATTTGCGTCCTACAACATGCATATTGGAATAGAAAGGAACTAATTCCCAGGTTTGGTTTCGCACCAGAGCTGAAAACTCATCATTCATTGGTACCTTCCATTCTAGAATTCGCAGAGCTTCTGAGACAATTTTTGGTTCAGCTAGAACACACAGAGTAAAGAAATATGCACATCCAGAACAACCCTAAGATTTTGACTTAGTAGGCTTTGAAAAGGTCTGGGTTTTTGATCTAGTAAGCATTGGATGTGCATTATAATGCTGATTGAAAGAAGGTTCCAGTTGATCAATGAAAACAGATGGTTCTTCTGATGGAGAGATAGTAGCAGAATCCAGGATTATTGACCCTGGAGTAATCTGAGCTGCATCAGTAGCTTCATATACATTTGTTTGAACTGCATCAGTAGTTGTATCATCAGATGAGCTGAAAAACAGTGATGAATTACCATAAACATCTGCTCTAGAACTAACAGGAGAAATAGGCTGAGCTGCATCAGTAGCATGAACATCTGCTATAGAATTAAAAAGAGGAATAGGCTGAACTGCATCAGTAGTATGAATAGTCTGAACTGCATCAGTAGCATGAACATCTGCTATAGAATTAAAAAGAGGAGTAGGCTGAACTGTATCAGTAGTATGAACATCTGCTGTAGAACTAAAAGGAGGAGCGGTTTGGACTGCAGTAGTAGTGTCAGACGATGCTGCCATAGTAACAGAATAAACATTGCTTTTGTTCAAGCAATGACCAAGATTTCATGAGGACAAAAAACTATTTGTACTAGTTTGAGAATTGAGTCCTCCTGTAGTTTCATCCTTAATGAGATAACATTTGAAACCAAGCTTAAATGGAAAAACAGTCTCATCAAACTTTGCTTGTTTCACTATGTAAACCTTTCCTGTGGACGAAAGGCACTTATACCTTTTATGGGCAAGACTATAACCTATAAAGACACACTTTTCAGTATGATAGGACAATTTCTGCTTCTGATATGGTCTGATGTAAAGGTAACATGAACAACCAAATACCTTTAGCTCACCGTACTTTGGTTCTTGCTGAAACAATTGTTGGTAAGGAGAGAGATCCTGAAGAACAGATGAAGGAAGTTTGTTAACAATGTATACGGCTGTACAGAAGGCCTGCCACCAGAAACACAAAGGCATACTAGCATGTACTAGCAGTGTTAATCCAAATTCGGTGATTGTTTTATGTCGCCTTTCAACTCTACCATTTTGCTGATGTAGATAAGGGCATGGATGTCTAAAACCAATGCCATGCTCTTTTAAATATTCAGTAAAGGGCCTAAATTCACCTCCCTATTCAGTTTGTAGAGTCTTGAGTTTAACATCTAGCTGATTCTCAACAAACTTATGAAAATGTGTAAAAACTTTGAATGCCTCAGATTTAAGCTTAAGTGGATATATCCACATGTATCTACTATAGTCATCCACAAATAATATATAATATTTAAAACCTTCGGAAGAGCAAATTGGAGCAGGGCCCTATAAATCCGAATACACCAACTCAAGAGGTATTGTGGATTTGGATGCAGAAATGGGAAAAGAAGTTTGTGACATTTTGCCGAATTGACATGCTTCACAAAACATTTTATTATCAAAACAACCATATACATGAATTTTATTCATAATATCTTTGAGAGTTTTAACTTGTGGATGCCCCAACCGAGCATGCCACAATGCTGTCAACAGTACATCAGACTTGCTTATTTGAGATACACTCTCTTTATTTGAGTTACTAACAGTTGGTGTAAGATTGAAACAATCAGGAACATGACATGTCTTATCATCACTACTACTAATACTAGTACTTGTATTGGTGATAGTAGCAACATGACAGAAAGCTTTAGAACCAGAAGCACCTCTAATAAAAGAGGCCACAGATGAGTAAGAACCTTTCAGCTGATACAGACCATCCTTCAAGAAGCCTTGCAACAGTATCTCTTTAGTGCACTTATCCTTTACAAGACAACGGTCATAGTGAAATTCAACAATAACTTCATTGTCTTTAGTAATTTGTGATATACTTAACAAATTTTTTGCTATATGTGGTACACACAACACATTCTTGAGATACAAGATCCTAGGAGAATTTTGTGAGTTGAGAAAGGACAAACCTGTTTAGGAGACTGGAATTGTTTGTCCATTGCCCACTTGAACTGTGGGGCCACCTTGATAATTGTCCTTGATAACCAGGTTACTCATATCTGCTATCATGTGGTTAGTTGCTCCAGAATCAACATACCAGGTCTGATCCATAATTGTATGAGGATTGGTAACTAGTATACTGTGAGAATTATGTGCAGAGGACAAATAAGACTGACTTCCTTCAGGTAAAGCAGTAACACTAGAGGATCCAACTGTGGGTGAAAACACTTGAGAGGTCAGATTTTATGGAGGAGGTTAACTATTATTCTGCTGATAAACTCCAGAAAATCCAGAACCATTGTACGAAGTAGAGGCTGACTTGTTGTATAACTTATCTGCCATAGTAGTCTTTGTCATCAGAAGTGCTTGTGCTGAGTTGTTTGACTAAGGAATCTGAACTGGGCTTTGGGAGGCATTGAAGTGGGAAGATCCTTGAGAACCAGATTCAACATTATAGCCAAGAGAATTAGTAGATGAACCAACTCCAGCAACTCCAAAACTTTGGTATTGGTAAGTATGATCAAATCTGTGGTAACACTGCAAGGCAGAATGTCCACCTTTACCACAGACTTGACAGATCAGTTTGGGTCTAAAATAACCCCTTCCTTGTCCCCTACTACGCACTAGTTGTGAGTTGTAAACCTGGTACTGATTAAAAGGATTAAAGCCTTCACTTGTCACTGGAAACTGAGAGAGTGATTGTTGATGTGGCAAACCAAAGCCTGATCTGGAAAAGCCTTGACTCATATTGTTTCCAGTAAACTGACAAGTATTAGGATTGAATTGTGAGAGAGATGGTTGAGGCTAGGAGTGTATTTGAGGCTGAGAGTTTGAGGTTAAGGTAGGATTGACATGATAAGGACCTGAAAAAAAAAATCAATTTGACTCTGCTGTTTGGACACCAGAAGAGCTTCATGAAAGTTAGAGAACTCATTATGTTGCCTTTCAAGCCTAATTTCATGTTTTTGAGCCTCTTGCAGTGTCGTTTGACTACTAGTGGAGGTCAAATTGGCCACTACTGCATCATATTCCGGCTCTAAGCCATCCAGTATATAGAGTAACAACTCCTCATCAGTTATATTCACACCACTAGCTATCAGTTCATCTCCCAACTCCTTCATTTTCAACACATATTCACTAATAGTACAATTTTCTTTCTTAGTGCATTGCAACAAATTTCTAAGATGCAGAGTCCTAGCTCTAGAAACAGATTGAAAATGAAGCTCTAAAGTACTCCATATCTCATAAGCAGTGCTACAATTAGCAACATGATGAAACATTGATTCTGAAAGTGTAGAATACAACCAACTCACCAGGAATTGATCGATCTTTTTCCAAGAGGAATAGTTAGGGTTTGACTTCTTGATAGTTTGCCCAGATTCATCAGCTTTATCGAACACAAATGGAGGAGGACAAATTCTTTCTCCAGTAACAAAATCATCGATTCCATGAGAGACCAGAGCTAGTAGGATCTACGAACGCCAAAATGAGTAGTTTTTCTCCAGCAATTTCACCAAAATGGTTGGTAAAGAGGGTGTGGTGTTTGAGGTAGTAAAGTTGGTGTTAACATTATCCATATAGGTTAATTGTGAATTCAAAATTGAAGATTCAAAGCTAAGATTAACCATAGACGCTTGTCTAGGGCTCTGATACCATGTAGAAATTCAGTATTGAGATGAAGAATCAAGAAAATTAAAGAGACCAAGAAAAACGAAAAACAGGGCTGAGAAGAAAGATGAATATTCTGGAATTCATTGATTTTTATTAACTGAGTCTTTAACAGAAAACAAACATATTTATAGTTTGTTACATTGTATAAAACGACAGTGTATTACATTTGGCTTAATTGAAATTCAAGCCGTCTAACTTCTAAGCTTTGCAAAATAACCCAGCATACTTTCTTCTTAATACTATCCAAGCCTATCATTGCAGCATCACAACCAAGGAAGCACCAAACATGTCTTCAAACACCTTGTGCCATTTTAGTGACAACTATAATACCCCATATCTGTGAACAGTGTCCCTAAGGAATTGGTTTTGGTGCAGGGTGCAAAGTGTAAGAATTCAAAGCCTTGGTGGAAGTAAAGTGTCACAATTGAAACGATGGAGGGCCAAATAAATTTGGCAGAGTTAGTATAAAAATGGGCTGTTTGCCTAAAATGAAGAAGAATCGAGAAGGAGAGAAGGGAAAGAGAGAAAAGAGAAGAAGGAGGAGAAGAAGAGAAGAAGAGAAGAGGAAGAGGAAGAAGAAAAGAAATAAGAGACAGAAAGTTATTTTGAGCCAAGATAAGTGTAAATCATGCTTGTATTCATCCTAAACTCTAGTTTTTCTTCCATTTTCTTTCTTTACGGTTGTGTGTGTGTGTGTGTGTGTGTGTGTAATTGGTGTGGTTGAGTGAAAATCCAACAATTTTTGGAAGGTTTGGTTTGTTTATGGTGTTGTGGAAGATTTGAGAGATGGTTGAGAGAGATGGGCTTTGAGGTTAGGATTATTTAAGCTTTAATTAATAAATTTGTGTTTATGTTGTTGTAAATGTGTTGTGGCATGTGTAAAAGGTTGATTTGGGATAGAGTTTTTGAGAGGAATTATTGGTGAAATGAAAGAAGTGAGTGGAAAACGGGGTTGAAGTGAGGAAAAACCCATAATTTGGGTAAATATGGGTTTCGCCGCGGCAAAGAAAATATCTTGCCTCGGCGAAAATGTTTCTGGAGTGCTGGGTGAAGAAAAACCTAGGTTTCGCCGCAGCAAAGAAAAATCTTGGCCTCAGCAAGATTTCCAGGGATATTTTGTCAATTTTGAAACCTGTCACAAAGACAGGGGGTTAAGTTAGAAGTTTAAAAGTTGAGGGACTAAGAAATAGTGGAAAAATATGAGGAGTAAAAAGATATTTTACTTGAGTGGAGTTTTTATGGAAAAAAATTTAGAAGCGGCCAGTGTTTGGTTATAAGACAGTTTTGTTAAAAAGGAAGTTAAGTTTACCTTTTGGTGTATGGGTTGTTCAATAGGTTTAATATTGATGTGTTACCACAGGAAAACCTTTACATGGAGAGTTCATTGGACTGTAGATAAGGAAAGATAAGCAAGGCACTGTCGAAGGATCCCGATCCCTTCTTCCGGTAGAGGCTTTAGCTCTAGAGAGGTGAGTGGATCCAAACCTTTCTCTTTACTATATTTTGATGTAGTTAAAGTCTTACTCGCCATTAGGAGCCAGTGGAAGCACACTTTGGGGAAATCAACATGTCATGGAATGTCAAGTACTGAAAGACATTGCAAATTCCAAAGGGAGGACAGTTGCTCAGGTAATTAATTATTTAGTTGTTAAAGCTTTACTGTTGTCTTTTTATTTTGGAACTTTATTCCTCTCTTTATCTCAGTTGGCCTGAATCTTCCAACAAACTCCATTTTCTATATATACATCTACATACAATCACTTGCTTCCAAAACTGCATACATTTGAAATTCAAAGTTGAGCCACCCAATTATATTACTAGACTGCTCTCTCTTGTATAGGTTATAAAGTAAGTCTATGGTATCGCTATGGTACTATTAAAGAGTGGCATTATTAGCATATGATTTCTTCTTCTGTAATAAAACAATCAGATCCATGAAACATCGAAGTTAAGAGATAGATTATGTAAAATATTTAATCCATGTGAAAGCTTATCGTGGTGAAAATAATATTGAGAAAATTAAGATAAACTTTGAAGCATTGTGGGAAATACAAGATCAATCATTAAATGGAAGAATAATTCAATATATATAGTAGATAAGTATAAAGTAGTGCTTAACTATTTTTCAAACTTTAGTTTTAATATCTCATTATTTCACCATTGAATTTGGGGTTATTTTGGTGCCATGTGAAGGTTTCTCTCATATGGGTTCATGAACAAGGAGTAAGCTTAGTTGTAAAGAGCTTTAACAAAGGAAGAATGGAAGAGAACCTGAATATATTTGATTGGAATTTAACTAAAGAAGAATTGCATAAGATAGAGCAAATTCCTCAGAGGAGGGGAAATCCTGTTGAATATTTCATATCAGAAAAATGTCCTTACAAATCAATCGAGGAGTTCTGGGATGGAGAAATTTAAGTTCAAGTTGTGGCTTCTAAATTCCACTAGTAAAATAGAGTATTGTTTGGTAAAATTTATTCTTAATTAAATGTACTTTGAATTTAGACCAAAAGAAGAAATAAAAAAATACATCTAAGTTCTGAATTCGTTTATTGCCCTCTAAAAGATGTAGGGCACAAGGGCCTTGAGCATTATCACCTTTTATTTTATTGTTGAAATATATAAATCTATTGATATCGAAAAGGATATATGGATCAAGAACGTTAAAGTATTACTAGAATTCACATACATGATATTGATATATAATTTATTTATTTATTAAGTTAAAGTATAATTTAAAATCGTTTTCAAAAATAACCTTTAACGGATTCCTTTTGAGACCTTCAACTTACTCATATAAAATATTACAAAGTTGAAAGGGATAACTACAATGATTTTGTTTCTATATACAATCATATCTACCTACAATTGTTAAAAAAACAATAATATATACAAAGTTAGAAATCATAAATTTCGATCTCAAATGTATAATTAATATAATGTGGATAGGTTATGAACAATATTAGTTTATCACAAGAAATTCTCATTATTCTAACAAACAGTATCACGACGTATAAATAAGTTGTAAGAATAAAACTTATAACATTAGAATCTCCTCTTTGTATATCCTATTTGTATATGTAATGTTATTTACTTAAAAACACTCTCAAGTATTCATCTCATTTGAAAAAATAATAATAAAATTAAAAAAAAAAAATTGGCAAAAACTCTCTTTTCATATATTATATGAATGCAATGTTATGTTTTCTTCAATTTTGACTCTTTCCACACAATGGCGACAAATTGGGAATGGCATTTTTATTTTAACTGTTATTCAATTCCATATATTGCATAATTTAGCCGGGTGGCGGTTTGTTCTTTTGTTCATTGATAATAATCATCCGCCGGCTTGTCTTCTAATTCTCTTTTTAAATTGTTTTCCTCTTCAATTATTGGAGCTAGAAACCAACGACCTAAATAGTTAAGAACCAAGCAATCGCTTAATCCATCGGAGTTGTCTTGTGAAAATGGTGACGATTCCAGTGGCACCCTTACCCACAACAGGCAAAACTATTCCTCTTGTAGGCTTTCGCACTGCTGAATTTCCGTTCAACTCAACTGACTCAGTAAAAGAATCTGCTTTCCATGCAATTCAACTCGGCTACAGACATTTTGATACTGCTGCAATCTACCGGAGGGAGAAATCTCTTGGCGAAGCCATAGCTGAAGCTTTACAGCTTGGCCTCGTCAAATCACGCGATGAGCTTTTCATCACTTCAAAATTGTGGATCAGCGATGCACACCACGACCTTGTCCTACCTGCAATTAAAAACACTCTCAAGTAACGTAGTCCGGCCAAACATTAGTGTGAAGAGACTGAATTTTTATATGAAAATCTTTAATATTTTGTTTCAATATTGTAGGAATCTTGGGTTGGAGTATCTTGATCTCTATCTCATTCATTTTCCGGGAAGCTTGAAACCAGGAACAAGGTTTCCATGTAAAACAGAAGATATTCTGCCGATGGACTTAGAGTCTGTTTGGAAGGCCATGGAGGAGTGTCAAAAGCTTGGTCTTACAAAATCCATAGGAGTCAGCAACTTTTCATGCAAGAAGCTCGAGAAATTACTGGCCACTGCTAAAATCCCTCCTGCCGTCAATCAAGTTAGTTTCAGATCTCCTTAATAATAATAATAATAATAATAATAATAATAATATAAATATACACACGCTCACACTAATTTGTTTTGGTAAGGTGGAAATGCACCCAATTTGGCAGCAGAAGAAGCTGAGAGACTTCTGTAACGAAAATGGCGTCCACATAACAGCTTACTCGCCATTAGGAGGCCGAGGAATCCGAGTCTTGGAGTGTGAAGTATTGAAAGAGATTGCAAGTACCAAAGGGAAGACAGTTGCTCAGGTAAATTTTTTTTTTTTTTTCTTGTTGACATTAATTATTTCGTTGTTTTCAGGACAAGTAACTGAGGTTTATTTTGTTGCATGAGAAGGTTGCTCTCAGATGGGTTTATGAGCAAGGGGTCAGTATAGATGTGAAGAGCTTTAACAAAGAAAGAATGGAAGAAAACCTTGAGATATTTGATTGGAAGTTAAGTCTCAAAGAAGTTCATAAGATAGAGCAAATTCCTCAGCAAAGAGGGAATCTTTTTGATTTATTTGTATCAGAAACTGGTCCTTTTAAGTCAATCGAGGATATCTGGGATGGAGAATTATAGGGTCAATTGTTTACATAAATTTTGTTTGTATGATAAGAATAATGATTTTAATTTGTTTGGTGGACTAACTCAAAGAACACCTTCTTGAGCTTATTTAAATGGACTCAATGAACCAAAATAATACAAATGGCGATTAAGAATCAGTCAACAAGCAAACAAACAACCGCAATACAATACACGACGGCTAAATTCATTACTTTTCCCCAGGAGAAGTGGGACACTGGGACCGTGATCATTTTTTATTATTGAAAAAGCACGAACATTCAAGAATTGAATTTATATTTATTATTAAATTAACATTTAAAATCGCTTTTAAATAGATCCTTGACCCATTCTGTTTTGCTCTTTTACTATAATATTTTTTTTTTTGGACACTCTTCAGACTAATACACTTAAAATAGATAAACAACATATTCCCACCCAAGGTTTGACAAAATCCTAAATTGATATCCCAGGTTACATTTATTCTAGATTCTCACCCTTAAAGTGACAGAAAAATGTTTGATGTAACGGTAAAGGGGTAAATTGGTCATTTTACATGGGTTGCGCACATTAGCAGACTATCGTCTCTAACAGTCCTCCGACTCATGTTAGCAGATGGCATCCTCGATGTTTTTCGCCCTTTTTCCGATGATTCTTCCACCCAAAATCACCCTTGTCACCACCATTTGAACCCCCATCCTTCCCTCTACAAAACCATACCCTTCACAACCCTCCATCACTCGCCGATAGCCATCTACAGCAGTCACGACATGCGACTGGTTTTTGCCGGTTTTTGATCATTTTGAACAGCGAAAACCCCAACCACCACCCCCATTTGACTCCTCGCATCCTCCCCTACAAAACCCCTAACCTTTCCAACCACGGCAACTCACCATTTGCCGTCCACTACTTCACCAAAAAACAGCTGATGAACATGAACTCTCAACCGACGAACGACAACGAAACGGTTGTTGGGGACATAGAGATTTTATAGATTTGGAGACAGTGGTTGCAGTGGTGGTGTCCAATTGGATTTTGTTGCCGAAATCGACCGGAATCCAACGAAGAACACCAAAACCCTAAGCCTAATGGCACCGGAGATTGGAGGGGCCAATGAGTCGGGAACCAGAGGGGTTTTGGACGACGGACTACGGGAAGTTGATGCAGGTGACCTCGGGGTTCAATGTTGTCAGAAATAGCCCAGATCGGGCTATTTCCAATGAGGGTATGTAGTGACCGAGGGTGTTTTTGACATAATTTGAACATAAAATGATAAGTTAAAATTCTACTAATTTAAGGGTTAAAACATAATTTATTAATTTAAGGTTAAGGGCATTATGATAATTGCACACTCTAAAGCCTAAAATTGCTAACTCTGTTATTTTGGTGGAATCTAGAATAAATAGAACATGGGGTACCAACTAAGATTTCGTTAAATCTTGGGTGGGAAATGGCGTTTACTTCTTAAAATATTATAAACTTGATAACCATAGTGAAATTGATTTTGTTTGATTATACAATAAAAAACAACCTATAATTATTTTTAAAAAAAAATTACGGTATACCAAAAGAAGTTTAATTTCCTATATCCTAGTTCATTTTATCCTACATGTTATAGAATTATTTAATTACTGACATTGATCAGATTATGGTCATATAAATTAATCTTAAATGACTCAGCATGACATTAAATAGAATCCACATGGAAAATGAATGCGCTCTTTTCTTTCTTTTTTCATTCATTCAAATAGGTATTATCAATCAATCACCAAAAATAGAAAACTAAGAAGAAAAAATTTCAAATTCTGGCTCTAGCGCGCACAGAAGGCTCTTTGAGTCCTTTTTACGAACACTTGGTGGGCGTTTTGCAAAACCACCGGCGACAGGAATCGGCCGAAAAATTAAAGTACAAAACCACAACAGACTGCCAACAAGCCCAACTCCAAACAAATAAGCAATTACCCCCAATCAACCCCTCAAAAGCTCCAATCAATACAAGCCCAACTTCAAAGTCACACAAATCCAAGAGGGAGTCGCCAACAAAAACGATGGACAAGCTCGGGCCAAACTGATGGGGGTTATGAAGAGGAGAATCCGATGAGTCTTTAGGTATTGATAGGTTGCCTTTTGGTGTTTGGAGATGGGTGGGTAGGCTGGGGAATTTTACGAATCGGTGGTGGGCAGCCCAAAAACGACCAGTGGACGGCAAACAGGGAGTGGGAAAAGCCGATTGAATGGTGGGTTTAGAAGAGGGGGTGAAGGGGGTTCCAGTGGTGCTGAAAGGATGAATTTCCGATTTGCCAATCGACCGGAAACAAGCTTGAAATATGGGTATTCGCCGGAAAAAAGGTGAGATGAAGATGATGAAATGGGAGGGGGGAAATGAAAAGAAGATGGAAATATAGGGGTAAAGTAAATATTACCCTTGACTCTTTTTGAATTTAATTACCATTTTATCCTCCTTCAGTCTTAACGGATATATATCAGCGGAAAGTAGGTAATTGTCTTTTCAAAAGTTTTTGAGCAGTAAATGAAAACTTCGGGTGGAAACATGTCGTTCATCCTATAAATATATGATCAATCTCTATCTCTTGTAGACATTCTGGTTTTTTTAAATTTCGGACTTGACTTTTGCTAGTATCTTTGGTCATTTTTTACTTGGATTAACTCATTCGTAAGTTAATACCTGCTACTGAAAATTAAAGTCTGAATTATAAGACCGGATTTGTATTTTAGCTATTATAGCCACACATAAGGTTACTGCATTTGTACTTTAGCTATTATTTAAATCTGTTGAATAATTTAGCCGGTTTGTTGTTTTATTGGTTGATTAATACTCAAGACGCTGGCTGGTCTTCTAATTCTCTTTCCATTATTGGAGGTAGGAAGCAACCACACACAATATTAGCGACGACAGAGAAAGCCTTATTGAAACAGGACAATAACAATGATTTTAATTTGTTCGGTTGTACACTTTGATTATCTAGATCATTAAACAATCTATTTTATATCCCAGTTTGCAATAATACATTACCCCAAAGACTTATATGATCCATCCATGGGTAACCTAGTAATAAGGGCAAATCAAAGGGATTGTATACGGCTTTAACCCACGGTCTCATTTATGTTTTATATAAAAGTGCTTACTAAAAATTAATAAAATCAAGTGATGAGGCCATGCTTACATAAATTTATTTTAATTTTTTTTGTTTTTTATTTTTTTATTTAAAGAAGTGATGTGCAATTGATGAAGAAACATTAAAACTTACTAAAAAAATTTAATTCGAAAACAGGTAATCGGCCGGCTGTAAATAATATACGCTACCTTATTGCAACCGTTGGATTAACATCAACTCTTCAAAGCTTGATCCAAAGTCTATATCAAAAGAGTAAACGGGGTTGAGTTCTCTTGGAGAAAATGGTGAGCATTCCAGTGGCAATCTTACCCTCAAATGGCAAAACCATTCCTCTGGTAGGCTTTGGCACAGCCGAATTCCCTTTCAACTCAACTGGAGCTACAAAAGGTTCTGTTCTCCAAGCAATTCAACTGGGCTACAGACACTTCGATACTGCTTCAATGTACCAGAATGAACAATATCTCGGCGAAGCAATAGCGGAAGCTTTACATCTCGGCCTCATCAAATCTCGCGATGAGCTTTTCATCACTTCAAAGCTTTGGACTAGCGATTCACACCGTGAGCTTGTCCTCCCTGCCCTGCAAAACTCTCTCAAGTAAACTACTACTTTCATTAATTTCTTAGTTTATTTTTTACATGTATTATATATATACAGACTCCTTGATATTTTGTTTCAATATTATAGGAATCTTAGGTTGGATTACCTTGATCTTTATCAAATTCATTTTCCGGGAAGCTTGAAACCAGGGTCGGGGTTTGCGATTAATGAAGAAAATATCGTTGCAATTGATTTAGAATCTGTTTGGGAGGCCATGGAGGAATGTCAAAAGCTTGGTCTTACGAAATCCATAGGAGTCAGCAACTTTTCCTGCAAGAAGCTTGAGAAATTACTTGCCTCTGCAAAAATCCCTCCGGCTGTCAATCAAGTTAGAAGTCAATTCTTTAACAAAATTTTTATGTTTCTAGTGTTGCTATAGCTGAATAAACACGCGTGTTTGATGTTTTGGTTAGGTGGAGATCAACCCAGTTTGGCAACAGAAGAAGCTGAGACAGTTCTGTGAGGAAAAGGGCATCCATCTAACAGCTTACTCGCCGTTGGGAGCCAAAGGAGTAGTTTGGGGAACTAACAGAGTCATGGATTCTCAAGTGCTGAAAGAGATTGCAATTGCTAAAGGAAAGACAGTTGCTCAGGTAATTAGATTTCTGAGTCAGTTCATTCCAATTTTTTTCGAGTTATCTGAACTTATTTTAGTGATATTTTCGAGTGGAGGGACGAGATTTAATGCTTGACTTCTTCTCTGCTTTATTTTGTATATGTGAAGATTTCTCTCAGGTGGGTTTATGAGCAAGGAGTAAGTTTAGTTGTGAAGAGCTTTGACAGAGAAAGAATGAAAGAAAACCTTGAGATATTTGACTGGCAGTTAAGTGCAGAAGAACTTCAGAAAATAGAACAAATTCCACAGATGAGAGGGAACATCATTCAGTCATTTGTGTCAGAGAAGGGTCCTTACAAGTCCATTGAAGAGATCTGGGCTGGAGAAATTTAAGGTCAATTTACTGTTGTTGTGACTTCAATGCAAACTATGTATTTGTAGTTGTATTCATATTTACTATGCACTCCCATAATAAACTCAGAATTAAACTAATTAAACTCAAAATCAATTCGAGTAAGAGAGAATGATGATATATGTTTCAATAGTACTCATAAATTCTTTGAAATAATGAGTAAATTGTCATTAGATTTTACAAGAAAATCAGCCATAATAATATTTCAAAATATAACCACTATTAGGTGAATCCGATGAGTCCTTAGGTATTGATAGGTTGCCTTTTGGTGTTTGGAGTGGGTGGGTTGGCTGGGGAATTTTACGAATCGGTGGTGGGCAGCCCAAAAAGGACCAATGGACGGCAAACAGGGAGTGGCAAAAGCCGATTGAATGGTGGGTTTAGAAGAGGGGGTGAAAGGGGTTCTAGTGGTGCTGAAAGGATGAATTTCCGATTTGCCAATCGACCGGAAACAAGCTTGAAATATGGGTATTCGCCGGAAAAAAGGTGAGATGAAGATGATGAAATGGGAGGGGGGACATAAAAGATGATGGGAATATAGGGCAAGTAAACATTACCCTTGACTCTTCTTGGATTTAATTACCATTTTATCCTCCTTCAGTCTTAACGGATATATATCAGCGGAAAGTAGGTAATTGTCTTTTCAAAAGTTTTTGAGCAGTAAATGAAAACTTCGGGTGGGAACATGTCGTTCATCCTATAAATATATGATCAATCTCAATCTCTTGTAGACATTCTGGTTTTTTAAAATTTCGGACTTGACTTTTGCTAGTATCTTTGGTCATTTTTTACTTGGATTAACTCATTCGTAAGTTAATACCTGCTACTGAAAATTAAAGTCTGAATTATAAGACCGGATTTGTATTTTAGCTATTATAGCCACACATAAGGTTACTGCATTTGTACTTTAGCTATTATTTAAATCTGTTGAATAATTTAGCCGGTTTGTTGTTTTATTGGTTGATTAATACTCGGACGTCGGCTGGTCTTCTAATTCTCTTTCTATTATTGGAGGTAGGTATTAGAGGATGATGAGTCAACTGTCACACAAAAAGAGCAAAACCGAGAAAGCAACACCACTACATGCCCAACAAACTCTCAACAAATTTGATCATAACAATCTAAGCTGTACATACACGCCCAACAAATTCTCAACTGATTTGATCATGAGCTGTACATATGCTTGAGGGCAATATTGTATATTCTTTTTGTTTTCTCTTGTAAAGGTCATTTTATTTCACTTGTATAAATAGGCTACTGTACAGACTTCTAATAATAAGTTTAAAAGAAGGAAGTGACGGAGTAATTCTTCATCAGTCTTGTTGCTCTGTTCCTCTCTTTTCTTCCAGAAAACCAGACCTCTCATCATCTTTCATGGCATCAGAAGCAGTTGTTGAAACATTAGAGAATGATGAGTCAACTCCCACTCTCAACCTTACTGACCTCAGCAACCCAAACAACCCATACCGTCTTGAAACCTCTGATAATCATGGTACCCTTCTGGTCACCGAACATCTTACAACTGAGAATTACTCCACTTGGTCCAGATCCATTCAACGAGCACTGCGGACAAAGAATAAACTCAGATTTCTTGATGGAACTATCGACAAACCCCCCTCTACCTCTGCACTCCTCCTCTCATTGTGGGAACGATGCAATGATATGCTTGTGTCCTAGCTTCAAAACGCTATCAGTCTGCCTTTTCGTCCATCAGTTGCATTTGTTGATGATGCTAGCGCATTGTGGCTTGAATTAAAGGACTGTTTTTCCCCTCAAAATGGTCCCCGTATTTATGAGTTGAAGAAAACCCTTGCTAATCTGTCACAAGAAACAGATACGGTAAGCACCAACTATGGCAAACTTAAATCCATTTGGGATGAACTCTCCATCTATGACCCCTTACCTGTTTGCTCTTGTGCCTCAACGAAAATCATCTCTGCCCGATACCAACGAGACTGTGTGCTCCAATTTTTGATGGGTCTCTATGACTCGTTTACAAATGTTCGTTACCAGATTATGTTGACTGATCCTCTACCACCTGTCAATAAAGTATTTTCCTACATTCAATAACAAGAACGGCATCATCTCATCACCTCCGCTGCCCCTCCAGTTGAAACTATTACATTGGCTACTCGTCGACCATCTCAATTTTCTCCCAAGCAAGACAAGCCGTACTACTCTCATTGTAAAATCACAAGCCATACTTTGGCCCAATGCTTCAATCTGGAAATGCCACAGCCCCTATCTGTACTCATTGTGAGATGATTGGACACACTATCGAACATTGCTACAAGCTTCATGGCTATCCCCCTGGACACAAGTATCACAAGCCACCCCTCAATGCTGTCTCCATGGAAACCCTTTCTTCGGCAACCAGCAATGAACCAAACCTTGTATTGAATAAAGAGCAATATCAAGAAATTATAGCCTTGTTACACAAGACGAACTCGACTGCTTCTCCATCTGCAAACCAACTCCAAATTGTTCCTCTAAATCAATCCCATATTTCATCGGCTGCTAGTATCTCTTTGTGTTTGTCTTCTTTTTCCTCTACTTCTCAACCTTGGATCATTGACACGGGGGCTACATATCATATTATCTACAGCCCCTCCCTCTTCACCAAAATAACATCTACCACTTCTAATTTTGTTAAACTCCCAAATGGAGAAGTAGCTACTGTCACTCACATTGGTACCGTGCAAGTGACAGCAACTCTTCTCCTCCATGACGTTTTATGTGTTCCCAATTTCCATTTTAATTTGCTATCTGCAGCTAAACTTGCCAAACAACTGAATTGTTGTCTTATGTTTTTCTCTGATATTTGTTTTATACAAGGCGTTTCTCCCTGGACAACGATTGGGAAGGGTAGCCTACTACATGGTCTCTATCACTTACACACAGCAGATGTCTCACCTCAAGCTTTAGTTCATACTTTTTCACAGCATTTTACACTTAAAAATCCCATTTTAGCCTCCGTGCAACCTCTCGACAGTGCTAATTATTTATGGCACTGTCGATTGGGTCCCCTTTCCCATTCTCACATGTTACACATTCAAGATACCAATGTAACTACTCATATGAATATCAATGAAAATTTACCTTGTCTTACTTGTCCTCTTGCCAAACAAACAAGGCTCCCATTTCCTTCTCGCACTAACTCTACTTCTAATTGCTTTGATCTTGTTCACTGTGATTTATGGGGACCACACAATATTTCAGACCACAATGATTCTCGGTTTTTCCTCACAATTGTTGATGACTTCTCTCGTTGCACTTGGGTGTATATTCTGAAAAATAAATCTGATGCACGTCCTTGTTTAAAATCCTTTTGTAATCTGGTTGTCACTCAATTTAATATAGGAATTAAAATCATGCATAGTGACAATGGCTTGGAATTTTCCATGACAGACTTCTATTCTGAACACAGCATAATTCATCAAACCTTCTATGTCGAGACCCCTAAACAAAATGGGTTAGTCGAGAGAAAGCATTGACATCTCCTTCAAGTGGCTCGTGCCTTACGTTTTCAATCAGGAATACCATTAGAATTCTAGTATGCTTGTGTTCTTACAGCCACCTACCTAATAAATCGTATTCCCACCCCTTTCTTCACAACAAGACCCCTTATGAAGTCCTATTCAATAAATCTCCCTCCTACTTTCATCTTCGTGTCTTCGGGTGTCTAGCATTTGCTTCCACCACCTCCCACCATCGTCATAAATTTGATCCCCATAGTCGATGCTGTGCCTTTATTGGATATCCTTTTGGTGTGAAAGGGTATCGACTACTTGATCTCAACACCTATAAAATTTTCATTTCAAGGGATGTTATCTTTCCTGAAACTCTATTTCCTTTCCAAACTCTATCCTTACTTCCTAAGTCATTCATTCCCTCTCCTTCCACCCTTTTCCCCAACTTCCAATTACCTGATCCAGACTCAATATCAACACACCCTCAACCCACACCGCAACACACAACCACCGATACTTCTGCGTTACCTCCCATTGACACATCCATAACTCCTCCTCCTCCTCCTCCTCCTCCTCTTGTTCGTAAGACTACTCGCTCTCGACGCCCTTCCCCTAATTTAAGTGACTTTATATGCTCTCCAACAATGGTCCTGCACCTTCTCAAGCAATGCAGCTTAATCCCTTGTCAGAGACATGTGACAATGCTGCCTTCTCATCTTTGTCCACAGCAAGGCCCCGCAACTCAAGTAAGCCATTTCCTATCTCTTCTTCTATTTCTTTCCATAAATTTTCTTCATCTTATCATGCTTTTATCTCTACTTTGTCTACCACACTTAAACCTCAGTCTTATGGAGAAGCTGTCAAGTACCCTCATTGGTGTGAGGCTATGAATTCTGAAATATCTACCCTTGAACTCAATAACACTTGGTCACTTGTTGATTTACCAGCTGGTAAGCACACCATTGGCTCCAAATGGATCTTTAAAGTCAAATATAATTCTGATGGAAGCATTGAGCGCTACAAAGTACGTCTTGTCGCCAAAGGATAGCAAGAAGGACTTGATTACAACAAAACCTTTGCCCTGGTAGCAAAACTTGTTACTGTTCAGACTTTCTTAGCAGTTGCCTCTATCAAATGCTAGTTTCTTAGGCAATTTGATGTTCAAAATGCCTTCCTACATGGCGACTTGGAAGAAGAAGTTTTTATGTGCAAACCTCCTTGTTATTTCAAAGGGGCACCGAATCAGGTTTGCCGCTTACACAAGAGTCTCTATAGCTTAAAACAAGCCCCGCGTTAGTGGTATTCAAAGTTTTCTCAAGCCTTATTCACTTTTGGCTTCCAACAATCTAAGGCTGACCACAACCTATTTACTCGGCTGCACAATTGCTCTTTCACAACACTTCTCGTGTATGTTAACGACATCATTATGGCCAGCTCAAGCATGGACTCTATTGTTGCTCTTCAGTCATTTCTCAGTAAGCGTTTTTGGATTAAATGTCTTGGTAATCTTCGTTACTTTCTTAGAATTGAAGTTGCTTGTTCTTCCAATGATATATCTATTTGTCAACGGAAGTATGCTCTAGATATATTATCTGATGCTGGTGTTCTCGGTACTCGACCACTCAAGTTGCCAATGGAACAAAATTTGAAGCTTCGAATGGATGATGGTCCACCTCTCTCGGATCCTCTCCCTTATCGACGTTTGGTTGGGCGATTAATTTATCTCACAATTACTCGCCCCGATATCAACTACGTTGTCCATGTTTTAAGTCAATTTATGACTGCTCCTACTTCCTCACATCAACATGCAGCTCACCAAGTTCTCCACTACATCAAGAATGCACCTGGTCAAGGACTCCTTTTTCCCTCCAGCTCCTTTTTTCATCTTCAAGGTTATACTGACTCGGATTAGGCCTCCTGCCCCAATTCTCTCAGCTCCATTACGGGCTTTTGCATCTTCCTTGGATCCTCATTGATCTCATGGCGTTCAAAGAAGCAAACTGTGGTCTCTCGCTCCTCCGCTGAAGCTGAGTATCGAGCCATGGCAACTACTTCTTGTGAACCACAATGGTTGTCTTATATTTTACAGGACTTACACATCTCGGTTTCACTTGCAGCTGATCTCTATTGCGATAATCAGGCTGCCTTACATATCGCAGCAAATTCGATGTTTCACGAGTGCACAAAACACATTGAGATCGATTGCCATCTCATTAGCGACAAAATTCAATCTGGTTTTTTACGCACTTCCCATGTTTGTTCTTCACTTCAGCTTGCGGATGTCTTCACCAAGGCACTTCCTTCCACTCAACTTGGCTTTCTTTTGTCCAAGATGGGAATAGAAAACATCTATTCTCCATCTTGCGGGGGGATATTAGAGGATGATAAGTCAGCTGTCACACGAAAAGAGCAAAACCGAGAGAGCAACACCACTACATGCCCAACAAACTCTCAACAGATTTGATCATGACATTTTGAGCTATACATACACGCCCAACAAATTCTCAACCGATTTGATCATGAGCTATACATATGCTTGAGGGCAATATTGTATATTCTTTTTGTTTTCTCTTGTAAAGGTTATTTTATTTCACTTGTATAAATAGGCTACTGTATAGGCTTAAGTTTAAAAGAAGGAAGTGATAGAGTAATTCTTCATCACTCTTGTTGCTCTGTTCCTCTCTTTTCTTCCAGAAAACCAGACCTCTCATCATCTTTCAGTAGGAAGCAACCACACACACAATATTAGCAGCGACAGAGAAAGCCTTATTGAAACATAGCAATTTTCCTGAAAAAGGACAATAACAATTCTTTTAATTTGTTCGGTTGTACACTTTGATTATCTAGATCATTAAACAATTTATTTTATATCCCAATTTGCAATAATACGTTACCCCAAAGACCTATATGATCCACCCATGGATAGTCCAATAGTAACAACAAATCAAAGGGGTTGTATATGGCTTCAACCCACGGTCTCAGTTATGTTTTATATAAAAGTGGTTAATAAAAATTAATAAAATCAAGTGATGAGGCCACGCTTACATAAATTTATTTTAATTTTTTTGTTTTTTATTTTTATATTTAGAGAAGTGATGTGCAATTGATGAAGAAACATTAAAAATTACTTTAAAAAATTAATTCGAAAACAGTTAATCGGCCGGCTGTAAATAATATACGCTACCTTATTGCAACCATTGGATTAACATCAACTCTTTAAAGCTTGATCCAAAGTCTATATCAAAAGAGTAACATCATTTATATATAACAAAGGAATGCAAATACTAAACGCGGTTGAGTTCTCTTGGAGAAAATGGTGAGCATTCCAGTGGCAATCTTACCCTCAAATGGCGAAACCATTCCTCTGGTAGGCTTTGGCACAGCCGAATTCCCTTTCAACTCAACTGGAGCTACAAAAGATTATGTTCTCCAAGCAATTCAACTGGGCTACAGACACTTCGCTACTACTTCAATGTACTAGAACGAACAATATCTCGGCGAAGCAATAGTGGAAGCTTTACATCTTGGCCTCATCAAATCTTGCGATGAGCTTTTCATCACTTCAAAGCTTTGGACTAGCGATTCACACCGTGAGCTTGTCCTCCCTGCCCTGCAAAACTCTCTCAAGTAAACTACTACTTTCATTAATTTCTTAGTTTATTTTTTACATGTATTATATATATACAGACTCCTTGATATTTTGTTTCAATATTACAGGAATCTTAGGTTGGATTACCTTGATCTTCATCAAATTCATTTTCCGGGAAGCTTGAAACCAGGGTCGGGGTTTGCGATTAATGAAGAAAATATCGTTGCAATTGATTTAGAATCTGTTTGGGAGGCCATGGAGGAATGTCAAAAGCTGGGTCTTACGAAATCCATAGGAGTCAGCAACTTTTCCTGCAAGAAGCTTGAGAAATTACTTGCCTCTGCCAAAATCCCTCCGGCTATCAATCAAGTTAGAAGTCAATTCTTTTAACAAAATTTTTATGTTTCTAGTGCTGATATAGCTGAATAAACACGCGTGTTGGATATTTTGGTTAGGTGGAGATGAACCCAGTTTGGCAACAGAAGAAGCTGAGAGAGTTCTGTGAGGAAAAGGGCATCCATATAACAGCTTACTCGCCGTTGGGAGCCAAAGGAGTAGTTTGGGGAACTAACAGAGTCATGGATTCTCAAGTGCTGAAAGAGATGCTAAAGGAAAGACAGTTGCTCAGCTAATTAGATTTCTGAGTCAGTTCATTCCAATTTTTTTCAAGTTATCTGAACTTATTTTAGTAATATTTTCGAGTGAAAGGACGAGATTTAATGCTTGACTTCCTCTCCGCTTTATTTTGTATATGTGAAGGTTTCTCTCTACAAGTCCATTGAAGAGATCTGGGATGGAGAAATTTAAGGTCAATTTACTGTTGTTGTGACTTCAATGCAAACTATGTATTTCTAATTGTATTTATATTTATTATGCACTCCCATAATAAACTCAGAATTAAACTAATTTTGTTCCAAGGTTGGAACAGGGGAAGGAAATTTAATCCTTAAACCTCTTATTATCACTCATAAATTCTTTGAAATAATGAGGAGATGGTCATTAGATTTCGCAAGAAAATCAGCCACAGCATTATTTCAAAATATAAGCTTATTAACTGGTAGTCGGTTCAATTCTAAGGGCCAAATAAAAAAGGTTCAGTGAATATACAAAACTAATGACAATGATTTGGAGTATACAGATTTTGGAACTAACCCTCAAAGCCCAAATCTCAATGACCAGATTCCTCTGCTTCACTTTCTCAGATAGAGACAAAACCTTTGTGTAACTGATGCACATGCAACCCGCCAATGAGGAGTATGTATGCATGTCAGACACATTGCCATGACGTAACAGATGCCTTTATCGACAGGCACATTCACCTGATGTAACTCACCTTCATTGTCTGGTTCTTTGTACCAAAGACTTTCTCCATTGCTCATAACAACTACTTTCTCCACCCACATATACAGTATTCTTGATTTCCCAACTAGTAATATTATACTTATAACATTTTCTCATAAACTTTCTCTTATAATCTCATAATAACTCATAATTAGTTAGTTCACAAATAGGTTCTGCTAGCTTATTATCTACCTATTTGTGAACTAATGAATCGTGAACTACCACATCGAATTACAAGAGAAAATTTATGAGAAGAGATTGTAAACGTGGTATTTTTGTTTCCCAAGTCATTCACCTCTATCAATTTAAGTCTAATTATTGAATTGCCTATTGAAAGATGCTTGTAGTGCCTATTGCAGTTGCCAATAAAATGTATGGAAATGTTTGGGAAAAGTTTAGAGAATCAATCAGCGGATTATTGACAAAACATGATTCTTTATGATCTTTTGAAAAGAAAATTCCAAGCAAACCATTCTGCAGCATTTTCTTCTACATAAGTAATAACAGCAACAAAATACATAGATTCACAAAACCAAATGCTAATCAAGATTTAACATATTTCCGTCTTTGAAGTCTACAAAGCACAAGCCAATATCATCCATCACATCCACCAAGAACGAAATAAGTCGCAGAGAACAGTACCTCAAGAGGTTTCAATTCTGACACAAACACTTACTTCTTTTCTTTCTTAGAAATCATTACAGATTCTTCTATTTCCTTCAAGAGATCACCAAACATTTTCACAAGATCAGGAAACTGGCCAATCGTACGAATAACCCTCTCCTCCATTTCAGTTCTGTCGATCTTCCCCATGAAAAAATAACGCCACTGTTCTAGAAAATTGTACTTAAAATCTGAAGGATCCAACTTGCTCCTCACTTTCTCAACAAAACTTAACGTTTCCCGGTGAAGCCTCTGCCTCTCCTCCTCCATCGTTCGGTGGTTGTCGATTAAGAAAAACCCTAACCCTTTTCTTCAAATGAGAATCAATGTAATTTTCAGTTACGGTTATGTTGACTATATATGGACTATGGTCATGAAATGGAGACTAAAATGAAAGGAAAGATCGAGAAGATTCTTAAATCGTTATTAAAAATGGCGTCTATGACTTGGACCAGTATTGGGATTTACACTTGTAAAGAAAGCGAAGTAGCAGCTGTCTAAGTTAAGTTTGGAAATTTCTGAAGAATTTAATGTCTTCTGCATCATTAAGCACACAAGGAAAACAATAACGAAAACACAAACAATCAAACCAAAGAAATGCAAATCAGGATTTAACGTCATTTAAGCTTTTAAAGTTTGCAAATTGCAAAAGCCCATCACAAGAAAGAAATAACTCCAGGAAAACAGTACCTCAAGGGGCACCCAATCACACACAAACACTTATATTTCTTCTTCCTAAGATGTATTTTCAATTTCTCCATGACCAAGATTCCTCAAGACCATCCTCTACTCGACTAGACTCTTCAAGATGTCCCCAAACATTTTCAAAAGATCAGGATATTGGCCAATCGTGTGAAAAGTCTTTTCCTCCATTTCAGTTCTGTCAATATTCTTTCCCTTGCAAAAATCAAGCAAAGGTTGTAGAAAATTGTACTTAAAATCTGAAGGATCCAACTTACTCTCCACTTCCTCAAGGAATAACCTCAAGTTGGCGACTAGACTCCTCAAGTCTTCCGCCATTGATTGGTGTCTGAATAAGAACTAATACCCTAACTGTTATTTTCAAAAGGAAATCAATGTAATTTTTTGGTGCCGTTATGGCGAGTACGGACGTGAAGGGGAGACTAAAAAGAAACAAAAGATCAAGAAGATACTTGCACTGTTATCAAAAGGGCGTCATATTCATGACGCTGGATCAGTATTTAGATTTTCACTTGTACGGAAAACGAAGTAGCAGCTGTGTTATCTAAATCCAATTTATATTGAAATCTTTTAGTTTTCATTTTTCATTTTGTATAATTTTTTCTTCAGTATATGAGTTAATACATTTGACAAATTGTGTACAATGCATTGCCGTCTGCAGAACTTCATATTTTGGAAAGCTCAATCATATCAAGTAATACGTAACTTGAAGAGTTTTAGATTCTACAACTGGCCTGCATGAAGCCAGAATCAATAGTAATCACGTTTAAGATGAAAAATTAGTATCAGAAATAACACATGTTGGTATATAAATTAGTATCTTATAATATCCATAGAATATTATTAGTATATATATTAGTATCTTATAATATCCCTAGAATATATGATTATTCCTATAATTAAGGTATAATTTCCTTTAATTATGCTAGGTTAGAATCTTTCCATATAGTATATTTCCTTATTAACTTTGGCCTTCTCCACTATATATAGAAGCCTCATTTATATAGTTTTTTACACACAAAAATATACAATCATATGATTCCTCAAAACTCTCTTTATTTCAACATGGTATCAGAGTCACTACTCTGATCTTCCAGTCCATGCAAGCCATTTCATTGATGTTTCCTTCCGCACCAACCTTGGCTTTCCCTACACTGACAGTGAGATTTTCGTGGTTTTACATGCGATTTTTGCTCCCTTTTTTTATCAAATCTGATCATAAATGGCGTCCTGAGAATTTTATCGGTGTTTCTGTGTCCGATATGCTTTCGCACGTGCCCCTACACGCCTCCTGAATATTCTACACGTCTGACCACATGCCACACATCTCCAGCAAAAATTTCAAGCCTGTTACAGCCAACTTCAAGCCCAATCCAAGTAAGCCTTCCCAGCCCATTTTTCTTTCTTTTATAAATCAGCTCATTCGGTTCAAAGTCCAACCCAGGTCCACCCGTTGACTCGTTGATCGTTGACCAAAAAAAAAAAAATTTGAGGTATGTCTCACTCCTCTCCCAACCTTGATACCATTGTTCGTCCTATTGATATCATTTTGGATGGCTCAAATTATAATATGTGGGCTCAAAATATGGAAGTATTTCTTAGAGGACGAAAATTGTGTTGTTATGTTTCTGGTGATATTCTTGCCCGCAAGCAACAAGATGGTGAGAGTCTTGATAAGTTTACATGTCGGCTTGAAGATTGGCATAGTATTCATTATAAAATATTGTCTGGGTTTATCAATACTTATGTTCCATCCATCCATAGCCTGCTTCCCAAGCTTGGTAATGCTCAAGCTGCTTGGGATTTTCTTGCTAAACAATACAACTGCATTCATGATGCTTCATTGCTGTTCCAGCTTGAGACTAAGCTTTATCAGACGTGTCAGGAATCAGGTCAGTCCATTGCTGATTTCTATTCTCAAGTTGATAATCTTTGGGAATAGTTGTCTACTGCAGATCCTCACCTCAAATGTTCTGATGACATTGAGTTGTTTGCAACCTACCGTGATCGTCGTCAGTTTATGCATTTTATGATGGCACTTCGTGAGGATTTTGAATCTACTCGGGCCTCTCTTTTGCATCACACACCTCTTCCCACTCTTGAGATTGCAGTTGCTAAACTTATTTCTGAAGAAAATCATCATTCAACCATGAAGATGCAAACTCCAGATTCAGTTGTTGCTGCCATCCCCCAGACTACCTTTGGATCTTCTTCAGCCTCGGGTCGTTTCCCTTCTCGGTCCTCAAAGACTGTCTTCTACAAATACTGCAAACGTTTAGGTCACTCTATTGTGGAATGTCAAAAATTGAAGAACAAAAATCAATCTCGAGACCCCTTGTTTAAAGTTGATGTCGTGGCTCCAACTACTCCTTCTGCTCTTGAGTCTGCTGCTGAGCCTTCTTCAGTGTCCATTACTCTCACCACTACTGACATTGAGGCATTAATTCATCAGGTTTTGTCCCAGTCTTCTAGTGCTTTGTCTGTCACCTTAGGTACATCTCTTTGGTTTTTTGATTCTGCATGTTGTAATCACATGACCTCTAATTCCACCATTTTTTCACAAAAATCTACTCTATCACCCAATCCTATCATATACACTGCTGATGGTTCTCATTTATCTGTTAGTCAAATTGGGTCTATTTCCTACCCTACCTTATCTGTTGACAACACCTATCTTGTTCCCAAGTTATCCTTAAATCTCCTTTCAGTTGGTCAACTTTGTGAATTAGGTCTTCAGCTTGCCTTTTCTAATGTTGGTGTTGATGTGCAGGATCCACAGAGGGGTCAACTTATTGGGATAGGTAGTAAGATTGCACGTCTATTCGAGCTCACTTCTTTGCAGCTTCCATCCCATCTGTCTCGCTCCATTGTTGCTCCTACCATCTCTTCTCAGCTGGGTCATGCCTCTATACCTCGTGTTCATCTTTTGGCCTCCCAAGGTCACCTAGGTTCTATAGGTTTTGAGTCTTTTGATTGTGTTTCCTGTCAACTTGGCAAATAAACTCATTTATCTTTTAATATAAGTGACTCTTTTTCGACTGCACATTTTGATTTGATTCACTCTGATATTTGGGGTCCTGCCCCCACTCCTACTGAGGGGGGATCTCGTTATTTTGTTATCTTTGTTGATGACTATTCTCGTTATACATGGCTATACTTGTTACAGCATCGATTTGAGCTTGTTCGTGTTTACCAAACTTTTCACAAAATGGTACAAACTCAATTTTCTTATACCATTAAAGTTTTTCGTTCAGATAATGCCATGGAATACAATGACAAAACTCTCCTTGAGTTCCTAAATCAACAAGGCACGGTGTCACATCGTTCTTGTCTCTATACCTCTCAACAAAATGGTCGTGTCAAACGAAAACATCGTCATATCCTTGATATTGTAAGAGCTCTTTTACTTTCTGCTTCTTTGCCTGAAAAGTTTTGGGGTAAAGCTACTCTTACTGCTGTGTACACAATCAATGGGGTACCCTCACCTATAGTCCACAACAAATCTCCTTATGAGCTTCTCTATGGTATAGTTCCTAACTATTCCTTACTTTGTGTCTTTGGTTGTGCCTGTTTTGTTACTCTTCCTCCTCATGAACGAACCAAACTGGAACCCCATTCTCGGTTATGATGTTTTCTTGGTTATGGCTTAACTCGAAAAGGTTATCGTTGTTATGATCCTATCTCCAAACGTCTTTGAGTCTCTCGTCATGTAGAGTTTTGGGAACACAAACCATTTACTAGCATATCCACGTTCTCCCCTTCCTCCTCTAACCAGTCACTCATATTCACTGATCCCTCTATGGCTTTATTTTCTGACTCTTCTACAGAGATTCTAAGCTCCTCAGACAGTTCTTCCACTGCTGCACCCAATCCAGTTGATGCATTGTATGGACCACCTGTAACACCACCCATTCCTTAGTCTTCTCCACTCCCTGAATCTCGTCGCTCCAGTCGGGTAAGTGTTCCTCCTACTCATCTTCGTGATTATCACTGTTACTTTGTCCTTGCCACCCTTCACGAACCTCACAATTATCATGAGGCTCGTACTAATCCTCTTTGGCAGCAAGCTATGTCTGATGAATTGTATGCTCTTGTCAAAATACATACTTGGGATCTGGTGGACTTGCCTCATGGTAAAGTTGCAGTGGGATGCAAATGGATTTATAAAATCAAGACTCGAGCAGATGGATCAGTTGAACGCTACAAGGCTCGAATTGTTGCTAAGGGGTTTACCCAGGAGTATGGGATTGACTATGAGGAGACTTTTGCTCTTGTTGCTAGACTTACATCTGTCAGATCTTTACTTGTAGTTGCTGCTGTCCAATGTTCGGAAATTTTTCAAATAGATGTTAAAAACGCTTTCCTTAACGATGATCTTACTGAAGAACTTTACATGCAGCCTCCACCTGGCTATAAGCATCCTCCACATAAAGTTTGTCGTCTTCGTCACGCACTTTATGGGCTCAAATAGGCTCCTCGAGCTTGGTTTGAGAAATTTCAGCCAATGGTTTCTCAATAAGGCTTTCTTTCTAGCCCATATGATTCTGCACTCTTTCTTCGCACTACTGGGGCAGGTACTATCCTTCTTCTTCTCTATGTAGATGATATGATTATTATTGGTGATGATATTGCTGGTATTCGAGATCTTCAAACTTTTCTTAGTCAGAATTTGAGATGAAGGATTTGGGACATCTTAACTACTTCCTTGGCCTTGAAGTTACTTCAAATCATGATGGATATTATCTCACTCAAGCAAAATATGCCTCTCATTTACTTTCCAAAGCTGGGTTGACAAACAGCAAGATAGTTGCTAGTCCACTTGAGTATAATACTAAGCTTCTAGCCACTAACGGCTCTTCACTTGTAGATACAACTCTTTATCGACAGTTAGTTGGCAGTCTCATTTATCTTACTATCACCAGACCTAATATTTCATATGTTGTTCATCTGGTCAATCAGTTTATGAGTGCACCTCGATCCACCCATTTTGCTACGATTCTTCGAATTCTACGCTACATCAAGGGTACTCTGTTTCATGGTCTGCACTTCTCATCCCACTCCTCTCTGGAGCTACAGGCCTATTCTGATGGAGATTGGGCTGGTGATCCTACTGATCGTCGCTCCACCACTGGTTATTGTTTCTTTGTTGGTACTTCTTTGATTTCATGGCGTAGTAAGAAACAGTCTATTGTTGCCCGTTCTAACACTGAGGCTGAGTATCGCGCTCTTACTAATATGACATCTGAACTTTTGTGGTTACACTGGTTTCTAAAAGATATGGGTGTTCCTCAATCAATAAGTTCTCCTCTTCACTGTGATAATCGTAGTGCCATCTAGATTACATATAATGATGTGTTTCATGAACGTACTAAACATATTGAGATTGATTGTCACTTCATCCGCCATCATCTTCAGCAAGCTGTCCTCCAATTACATTCAGTTTCTTCCGAAGATAATCTTACTGATATTTTTACGAAATCCCATCCACCTAGTCGACTTGGTGATCTTGTTTCCAAACTCCAGTTGACTTCACCACCAAGAGTTTGAGGGGGGATGTTAGTATATATATTAGTATCTTATAATATCCCTAGAATATTGTTAGTATATATATTAGTATCTTATAATATCCCTAGAATATATGATTATTCTTGTAATTAAGCTATAATTTCCTGTAATTATGCTAGGTTAGAATCTTTCCATATAGTGTATTTCCTTATTAACTTTGGCCTTCTCCACTATATATAGAGGCCTCAATTGTATAGTTTTTTACACATTAAAATATACAATCATATGATTCCTCAAAACTCTCTTTATTTCAACAACACAGAAACTTCACATGCTAATGCTGCAAAACTTCTTAGAAGTTTCAGGTTTCCCTCTGGTTATGAGAAATCCGCCTGAAAAAATGCATTTAAGATCAAAACAAAAGGACTTTCAACACGTGTTGATCAACTTCAGTAATTTTATGACAGATTTCCAGGACCCAGTTTGGAGTCTCTCATAAAAAGTCTTCCCTTCTGCGTTGGGCCAGGGTCCCTCCTATGTAAGGTGACCTTCTTTAAAGCCCAATAGGGTTTGTAGCAATGCTTTAAAATCCAACCTGGCCCGACCGGTTGAACCGGTTAAACCGGGACCCGGCCAGTCAGCCGGGCCGAGTGAGCCATATAACCAACAAAATCACTCTGCCCAGTTTGACCCGCAGTTGGACAGGGGTACTGTAGCACCCATCGGTCCAACCGGTAACTTTACTACAAACCGGGTCATGCCAAAATCAAATACATTAATACAAAATTTAAAAAATAAAAATATTAAATTTAACTACGCGCTTAAACAGTATCAACATTTCCCCCCATTTCACGCTACTTTCCTCTTTCGTCTGAACTCCTCTGAACCATTTTTCATCATCCACGAACTCCCCTTCACCAATTCACTAACTTCGCCGTGAATCTCGTCGCATTAGCCTTCACCGTCACCAGTTCACCGTGGAATCTCATCGTCTCCCCTTCACCATTTCGCGATCTGTTCTCACTCCTCTCTTCACCGCCGATCTGCTCATTTCTTCCGTCACCGTTGATCTGGAAGCTGCACCATCATTGTCATCTTCTTCTTGCTTAGGAACTGACGAACTGTGGGCAGTCGCGATCTCTTCTTCTCTTCTGTAGTTCTGCTCTGTTCAGTGTTCAAGTGTTCGTCCGTCACAGTCGAGCTCCACATCTCCAACGGTCAACGGCAGCTCGTCTTCAGTCTTCACCAACACCAGGTATTGATTTCGTCTCTGTTCTAAGTTTCCAAGTATGTTTATCATTCTTGTTACTGTAACACTATTAACTTATTATTGTTTTTCATTTTTAGTTTTTTACTACAATGTTTATACTTTATAGAGTTTATACTTTATAGTTTATAACTTTATATTGCCGTTTGTAATCAGCAAGAGTCCCCATTGTCTCAGCATTCAAAGACATCAATATATATTCCTACCTTATTGCATCAATCAAATATGTCAACTCAAAGACACGCTGCTTCAATTTCTGATTGATTCCTGCATATATATTCCTACCTTATTGCATTTGTCATTACATTTATAAAATGTGGTTGGTGTTGGCAATTTGATAATATGTAATAATAATAATAAAGCTTATAATAAGATTGATGAATTTTGGGAGCTCAATAGGTAGGTAAATTGAAGTGTAATATGAAAATTAGAGTGTGTGGAGGGTGTGGGACTGTGTCCTTTATCTTCGCTATCTGGGTAGAATCTTGGTTATTCCTATGATCATCTGACTTGTGTCGAATCAAATCAAAACATAAAAAACAAAATGAAGAATAAAGTATATAATATAATCTATTGAAGGTGGGTGTGTGTTGAAAATAATTACGAAGATCCTCAAAAGTTAGATTAGTTTAGAATATCTCAATGAATGATTTACTTTGAATTTTTTTTAAAGAAAAGAAATGGTTGGTAATATAAAGTAATGAATAAGGAGATTCCTTAACCGACATCGATTTTTATTTATTATGATAGCCGCCAATTGTGCATTTGTCTTTCTACTTTACACTGTCCCCCAATTTTGAAATTTCTTGTTCTAATTGATAAGACAATATTGTGTTCTGATATTTCTCTATTTGCTGCTTTAAAATATTCTGATTTATCAGTGTAATGGTCTTGCGTGGTTCTGGGTGAAGGAAACTGATGATGATGGCACTTTTGATTGGGATTTTTTGGCATCGAAGTATAATGGGCGCGGTGGAAGGCTATTGAATGGTGAAGATTTGAGTCCTCATTCTTTTCTTTTCTAGTCTCCATACTTGAAGAAAGCAAACAATATATTATATTTTTTATTCATTCATTTTGTTATTTTGATTTGTATTATTGATATAATGATGTTTGATGATATTTTGCTATGGATTTTTTATTTTGGAGTTTATGATTTGGACTTTGGAGTAAAATTTGGGAAAGGAATGTATTCTGTGAACAGTAACTTGATGACATCATCAAGTTACTGTTCACCAGGTTAAACCGGTCGACCTGGGACCCGGCCCTCTTGCCGGGTTTTGTCCCGGGTCGGTTTTTAAAACATTGGTTTGTAGTGAATAAAAGACAAAAATAAAGTAAGGGTGGAAAAAAAAAAAAGCTGAAGGTTTTTTTTTTCATCTCTTTACAGTTCCATCAAAGTTGTGATCCCGCTTCACCTGTGGTTGGATCGAGCTCAAATTTGGAAGAGATACTCACGACACAAGGAGCTACAATTTGAACGGTGAAGATCAAATTTTGAGTTCTGAAACTGGTGGTTTGCTCCTGTGAACAGTAATTACAGGTTTTGGTAAGATCTTTCCAACATCCATTTTTTGTTGGTCTTGTTTCCACTATGATAATGATGTTCTTATTGTGATAGTATTTCAAGATTTGGTTGTTCTTGATGTTTGTGTTTCTTGAATACATCTAGTAAACTAAGAAGAATCATTGTAAGATAGTGGAGGTTTTTGAGCAGCTTTCGATCTCGTGGTTTTTCCCTTTGTATTGAAGGGTTTTTCTGGTGTTCTTTGTGTGATTATTTGATGCTGAATTTTTTTTACCATATTAGTGTGATTATTCTCTAGTTAATATTTCACAAAAAGGGTTTTCATCAG